TTAGTACAAATAGGGACTATGACTTTCTGGAATGCATTAATAAATCTTCATTACTACTGTATGGGGAAAACCTGAGACTCCTATGGATTAGATTTTTTTTCCCTGCCTTCTGACCAGACTCTGTTCCTGGCCTTTTGGATGGAATACAGAATAAATCTGAATATTCTTCCAGGGATCCTGTGATTCATCTGGTGGTGAATTGTACAGGCTCCAAAAGAGAGTAAGAAGATACAAAATATTTCTGTGGAAGACTGTATTCGCCTTCAACAGAAATCCAAGGAATGCAAATTTGTCCCAACTGTATGGAGCCCTTTTGGTGACAAAGTCCTTGGAGCATGTTCAAAGCACAGAGCAGATGCACAGGGCAACAAACTGTTTAGTCTCCATCCCACGCAGGAGATATAAGTCAAGAGAGGTTTTCTTCCCCAGACTCACATTCAGATAAATAGCGTGGAGGCATTACATTACATGGATAATATGTGGAAAACATCCAGGAGCACTGATATTGAAATTATGTCAGCCTTGAAGAGGACATCCAGCGGAATGATGCTGAGGTGTGAGGCTTGCCCATGGGACCATGATTCTGGGAACAGGGTTCAGATCTAAGATTTGTTCACTCACCATCATCTTAGTCAAATCCCACTACTTTTCTGGAAGAAACCTGGTAGTTTCTAAATGACAGAAGATTAAAAGAACCGTAGAATTAGACATGTCTGATTATTTAAAGGGATCCTACCCACTATTTATGCAGGATTTAGCATTTTCAAAAAAACTAGTGTTAAGAGTTAGTCTGACTTTTTTTAACCACCAATTTAAGTGGGAGCAAAATTGGACTGCTATCCAAGTCTCTAGAGATCCTACACTAGGATTTTTTCAGTTTGGCTCATCTGTTCACAGATGAGGGTGATGTGTTGTGATTCACTATTAGAAGAACATGGGAGAAATATGAAAAAAAATTTCTCACTTTCATATCAGTAGTTAAATCTCAGTAGTCCTTTTTTTTTGGGTGTTTTTATTTATTCCTGCTTTAACTTGCTCTTATTTATAGATTTTTTTTTTGTTTCCTTTCTATATCACAGCAACTAGTAGTTATTTAAAGACCTCCTATTGTTTCCATTTTAGAGACACATTTGTTACCATGGCCATTTAAATTCTGCTTTGCTGGAAATGCTTGTACAAGCTGATAGCCTAGATGTAAATTATTTATTTCCAATTTAATTGGTATTGCTTTTTATTAAAAACATAATAGCATACTAACCACAATTTTTTTTTTTTTATTTTCTTTATATGCTTGCCAAACTAGCAAGAGATTTTACTCTAAAAGATTGCTTTTTTGTTACTGACGATTGGCCCACCAGTGTTGAAAATTCAGAAACTTTGCATTTCCAAAAAAGACCAAGATAAGCTAGAGAGTTAAACATAATGCTGAGTACATGCCAGCATGAGCTATACATGCTGTATATATATATGTATGTGTTTACATATATATATATATATATATATATAAAATGGTGAAGCACTTTAAGTTATCTTATTGATATTCTTCATATTCTCTTTGTGCAATGCTTAAAATAATGTGATCAGTTTTATTCCTTTAGCTGGTGAAGATGCAGTTGTTAATAACATCTGCTACATGATTATAAGGATGAACTAATATTTGGACAACTTCTGTTTAAATGTAGCTTATAGTTTGAATCAATATTTTAGAAACATTATTACTGAACTTTTGCTCTTCCATTGTTGAATTTGCAATGGAGCTGTACAGGTCCATCTGAGTTTGGCATTTCCACAGGGCATGACTGAGGATTTTATAGGCACAGCAATATTTTTATTTCTCTACTTGATGGCTAACTAATATTCCTTGATCATATTGGCAGTAGACTAAATACCAGCTTGGAAATACAACCGAGCAAAGGGGTTGTAGTAAATTAAATTGCAACAGAGTTTTGAATGCCAAGATAGCATTCAAGTGTGTGTGTGTGTGTATATATATATATATATATATATATATATATATATGAATATGTGGGTTGTTTTAACGTAGATGGGGCAACACAAAACTTGGATATTTCAGGCTCAGGAAAGGAACTCAACCAGGATCTCACATATGTGTGAACTATAGCTTTTAATCAATTGGTAAGATAGATACAGTTGAAAAATTTGGAACACTAGGAAAAGGATTTAATAAAGCTGTTACTTAGAGGGGAAAAAAGCTTAAGAAAACACACAGACCTCAGTTTTATGCTTTTGACCAATGAACTCTTCTGCTGGAGACAACAAAATGGCTTCTTGGCTGAGAAATACTTCTTGAATATCATAGATGATATTTTACATATTGCATAGGCTTTACTTTGTGTGTGTATCTACTGCTGAAATTATATTTCTATTCAAAGAGTAATCCAATCAGTCTGATTCAGAGGTGGACTCTCAACTCAGGCACTGATTTTCTAGAAAAAGCTGCCTCTGAGATATTGTCCTTTTTCCAGCAGCTAACTCTCTGTGTATTAACTAGTCTCTAAGTGTGCAGGAGTCTATTTGAGCATAATTAAGTGCATATTGTCCCAGTCCAGCACACACAATTCTTATAAACATATCATGGAAGAAAGAGACACCCAAGCAACTTCAGTCCTGAGGCTGTTGTAATAAATGTGATGCAGTGTTAAGAGAGAAGATTTTCATCCTTTATTCTGTTTGTTTGCCAGTATTAACATTCAGTCCTGTGGAGCTGAATGTTCCATGCTGTTTTCTTCCTCTTCATGTTTCAATAACAATTTTCATAAAAAGCATATCTCCCACTTCATGGCATTACAGGGAGTGGTTATCAAGACTCTGAAAGTGTGCCTGGAAATTTAGACATTTTCATTCAATTTCTATAATTCATTTTGACTTGGTTATATTTTTAAAAGTCAGATTTCAGAGACTGGAGGGTCACACCATATGTTTTATTTGAACAAGTGACACCAGAGGCAAAAAACTTAATATTTTGTTGAATTAGACTTTTGCAAAAGCTAACATTTATTTTATTCCTATCAATTCTATTAATATCTAGCAATATATCAACAAAAAATAGTTTTTTTTTCTCAAGCAGTAGCATTCTCACTGGGATATGCAACCTAGATATTGCAGTCCTTGGTACAGGAAAACTGTATCAAGAAAGAGATTCAGCATCTCCCTAAAAATTTAACTTGACAAGCATTTTATCTTTGTTGAAAGTGATGATAAAGGACTGTAACAAGCAACATAAAAGATGAATAGTTATTAAGATTGTTTTGAAATGTTCCAAATTTTAGAAACTTACGAGCTACCAATATTTTTTTGTCCCATTACCAATCATATTTTATACTTTCCTGAAGTAGGATAGATACTTGCAATTATCAAAGATGTATTACCTTTAACCTAAAGTCCAGAAGCTGAGCTGTGTTTAGAGCATGTAACAGTGGGAGCACTTTATCCTAAGCCAAAACACTTTGAAAGCTCTGTGTGGGAACATTCTCTCCCATATTTATCTGATGAAGGAATTCAGAAGGACTCACAGGCGACAAAGCCTCAGCAGCAACAGCATGAGTAGGCCCTGGGAAAACACACTTGTATGTTCCAGATCTCTGTCTCTTAATAAAAATAATGCTCTGATTTTAGGAGACGGTGGTTCTCAGCACTCATGACTGGTCCTGTCCTTTGGCTTCAAAGTCAATCTCTACATCAGCCTGCATGTGAAACTCCATACCTCACACTGTAAATATTCCCATTGAGATCAATAGGTGTGTTTGCAAAGTAAAATATTAAAATATTATTCACTGTGAGTAAGAGCCATATGATGTGAGACAGCAGGTCTGGCACTTAAATATGTTTTTATATTTTTACGTGAATATATTCTCATGTGTGGGTTTCTTGTTTTGGCCTACACCTGTTTTGTGTGCAGAATAGTCCTGCAGAAGAAATAATTGTACAGTTCAGTATTAGATATTCATATGTAAACACATATTGGTTTTTACTATCCCATTACTCATTTACATGTGTAAATGCAATTTAACTGTTTGTGTAACTTTGTCAGTGAAAAATTGACTATTTCAAAATTTTGCCTTGGGTGTGTTCTGGGAAATAACACTACAAGTTCATGCTATTTCTTCACTCAAGCTCTCCAGCCTGTTAGAAACACAGGATAACCACTTGACTGACTCACAGTGTAACTCTTCAACATTATGGACCTAATGATTTTTAATTTCTCTGATATTTGTTGATTGCATCAACATTATTCATCATAAACACCATTATATTAATGTGGATGTCGCTGGCATTGTACTTAGGGCTATCTACTTTAACTAATAGGACCTTTAGTTAGTTTTAAGGTGTTACATTTTGCACAGTCAGCTTTGTGTCTTTCTTAAGGGGGTGAGGAGAGTAAATGTGTAGAAATTATTCACTGAATTTTGAAAGCATTTTGCTATTTATAAGACCAGCTTGGGGGCGAGGGGAAGGTTGTTTTTCTTCTAAAGAAAAAGGAAGTTTTATGTGAGACCCAGAAGAAACTTCTTTTTTCCTTGGACAAGTTAATGCACATAATGCGATTCAGTTGTCTTCAAACATTGACAGCAAGCCTGAGCTGTTACTTCAAGTTTTCCCTGTATAAAGCAAAGATAGTATTATTCAAGGAGCTGTTGTGCTAGACTTTGAAGAGTGCTTATCTCCTTGGGTGGTCATGTTAATTCCGTAGCCAGAATCAGTTTTTAGTGTTTTTGAGAAGATCCAGTGATGAGTTTCATTTCTAAGGGAAAATTCCTTTCTGGATAGAGTGGACAGGAGTCTTCCAGTTTAGACCATGAGACACCTCAAAGGAGATAGACTTTGTGATTTTGATGAATTTTAGATCTGGATTACTTAATATGAAAATTTTTTTCCTTGATTGGACCTGCTGTGTTTCAGCTCCCAGTGTATTTCGACAGCAAAATAGGCCATGTGCACTGAACCGCTCTCACTCCCAATATCGCTGTGTTTTCTTACAGCCTGTGACCTGATGAACCAAGGCATCCTGGCCCTTGTCAGCTCCATTGGCTGCACATCAGCAGGATCCCTGCAGTCCCTGGCCGATGCCATGCACATCCCTCACCTCTTCATCCAGCGCTCCACAGCAGGAACGCCAAGGAGTGGCTGCGGGCTCACCAGGAGCAACCGCAACGACGACTACACACTCTCTGTGCGGCCCCCTGTCTACTTAAATGATGTCATCTTGAGAGTGGTCACAGAATATGCCTGGCAAAAATTCATCATTTTTTACGATAATGACTATGGTAAGTATTTATTTATCAGGGTAATTTTTGTCAAATCCATAATCCTGTTGAAAATTGTCACGTTACATCTTTATAGTCTTCCAATAGATTATGTTTTGCCGGTGAACATTTATGGTTCTGTCACCATTTCACAGCACCTCAGAGAAATCTATTTCTAAAATCCATCAACATTTACAGGTTTATTTGATAATGTGTTTGTTAGAGTTAGCTGATAAATCAAGATCTTACGTGTTTTCTACCCATGGTTATGAAGCATAAACATTTTTAGCAAGCTCTCTTGTTTTTTTGGACAGTAGAAACATAAAATGACAATTCAAGATGCAACATATAAGATTTGCATTCTGTAGATTTGTTTATTGTGTGGTGAATCTCTTCTGTTTGTTGGCATATACTTTCTGGCCAGAATCCGAAGCGATGGTGAATGTAGGTCAGAGGTTTGGCAAGAACAAGGTGCTAGTCATAAATATAAAAGAGGTAGAAAGAAGTTCTCGAGAGTGAAGAAGTTGAGGAGGAGGAGGGCTTGGACAAGGCAACATTCCCTCTGTTTTGAGTTCATTCAGTGTTCCTGAAAGGTGCTGAATTGGTGGTTTTTGTGTGATAGAGTAAGTGTGACACAGATGGTGGTGTCACAAGACTGCACCATCCTGCCTGGTGAATCAGCCAGTTTTGGTCCAGATATTTTCTATAGCTGACAGGAGAACTTGAAAGATTTCTCCAGTAGGCTGCATTATCTTAACAAATTTACCAACCTTTATTTCTGTGAAAAATTGCTTTGCAACCAGACCTGTTTTCTTCAGATGCATCCAATATTCATAAGTAATCATGACTGGCCTGGATGAGCATTTTAAAACTTATGTTCAAAGTTTAATCTTTAAGTTATAGAAAAATGCTCACTTCAGCAATTTACTGTGCATAATATCTGGTTCATTCAGGTCAGGTGTTATTGATTTTTGTTCCCTGACTACATAATAAATTCTTAAATTAGAAGACTAAAAAGTGATGAATAGGAGAATTCTTCTCTATAACAAAGCAGCACCTAAAAGCACCAGCCATGGGATAGGGACCACACAAGAAAATACCCCTAAAAATCTAGATAAACAAAAACATCTAAAAGTCTCAAGCAGAGTATTTTTGTTCAGAAATTATGAGTTTGTGTATTTAACTGCCAGGTACTTATGAAGACAACCATAAACTTTTAATTTAAGGGGTATCTTTTTTTTTTTTTTTGCATGGATTTTTGAGTTTAAACACCTCAAGCAAATTTTATTATTAATATATTTGAATAATTATATTTGAAAATATTAGGTTTAAGTTATTAAAGTTTCATTATTTAATTTAAAAATACAGTACAGACACCATGCTATTTTGTCCTTGATATCTGGGTAAGAACTTCATCATGGTGTGACTTACATAACACAGATGCCTGCCTGCAAGGAATTAGTTTCAGAGCAATAGCTCATTCAGTGACACATCATCCTCAGATTTGACCTGTGGCAACTATTTAGTCTCTGTACCAGCCTCTCTGGCATTCTGAATTCAGTAGTCAACAAGTAATGCCACACTAAACAAGAAAGCCTGGTAATCTGACTCTGATTAGTAATCACCATCACAAACATCAGGAAAAGGCACAAAAAAACCCCAGCATTCGGCATTTAGTATGTACTGAGCAGTCTGTCCCCTTTCTAACCATTTGTGTGGCTTAGGCATTTTGGGGGGGGGGGGGGGGGGTAGGTATTTTTTTGGGGGGGGGAAAGGGGTGTGCATAGTTTGGGATTAATACCATGGAGAAAATTATTTTAAATGTAACCTGACTTTTAAATTAGCCTGTGACTCAGAGTAGAGCTATTAGCTGTGCAATGGTATGCTTCTTTAGACTATATCAAGATAAATCCTTGATTTCAACAGCCATCCCAGGGCAGCAAACAATTTCTGTATCCTTCTTTTGCTTCCTACAATTTCTTTATAAAATTTTATGTTGCTGATTTCATTGATGGTTTTCCCCTCCATTTTTAATAACAAACAGAGCAGAATTTTCAGATCACCATCTCTAACCTCAGGCCTCTCACTCTTTCCTTTGATCACTGGCTCTCCATTTCTTCTTCTTGCTCATATTGGAATGCCCTTCTAATTCTTTGCTACCCTGTTTCAGGTAGAACCATTACATTTGACGCTGTGTTTTGCCTGTTCACAATCCTTCCCAGATTTTGATCTATGACAGCAGTTTTTCACAGACACATGTTGACATTTTTTGATTATTAGCCCCTAGAGAATAATCTTGCCAGATTGTTATAAATATTAAAAAATTATATAACTTTCTCCCCTTTTCCTGCTATTATTGATAAACTGAAAGCATTTGTCATATGTTATCTTCCTGGATTCTCTATTGTTGAAAGCAGAACTAGCACAGAGAGAGGGACAAAGAAATTAATGGCATGAAAAGAGGAACTGGAATCACTTTTTTAGTGGATTACAGAGTGGATAAATCTGAATTCAGTATTAACCATCCTTTGAGCAGCAGGTTGGGCAGTGTGATGTCCTGAAATGCCATCCAACTCTAATTATTTCTTGATTCTGTGGTGTTTGAGAAAGCCATTCTTTTGATGGGTAGCTAGATGTGAAATATTTTTACAAAATAAAATTATTCAAGCATCAGTTTGAATTTTTAAAAAGTGAGTTGGCCCAAGAACTCTAGAAGACCCTGAGGAAGGGAACATTGCCATTACCTTCTATGCCTGTTTTAGAAAGAAGTCAATACTGCGCATGCAGATATGGAGTGGAGGTCCAGGAATAGTCCATTCATTTCGTCAGCATCAGTGCAGCTAAGATTGGTTGCAATTTCCTCTGGAAGACCCCAGTCCTGTACCTCAGCTTTCCTGAGAGGTTCTGCTGCAGTGAGACTTATTTATTTTCTCAGCTCATACAGACCTAAAATAAAATTCCTGCTAAAAGCTTTGCTTGGTGCAACTACTTGCAGTAGTTACTATTAGACATTTTAATAGAACACTTAGCATTAAACATTAAAGTAGGTGGGAGTTTGATACCTGCATTAGAATTGATTTCATATTAGGAAGAGATTATTGATATGCTGTGCACAGCTGTCTGCAAAGCTGACACCTGTGCAAGCAGCAATTTCTTGCCCTGATGATATTTTTTCGTGTGCAGTGATCATTCCTTCTCAAGGTGTGTATCATAACATGAAGTAGGGTCTCCATAGCAGAAAATGACACTTCACAAAAAATGGGAATATAGATTCTGGTGTGTGTTCATTTTTTTTTTTTTTCATTGTTGCCATATTTTTCTAAGTTAGAAAATGTGGAAACACTAATAGACTGACTCCAGCCACCAGCAGAATTTCACTTCTTTCCTTTCCAATAAATTATTTTGTATAGTCATTTAATTTAATTATTTGAAACAAAATACTTTAGTTGTATTACTGAAATTATTTCCAGCAATAATTCTGCTCTGTGGAAGAAAATAAGACTTTCATATTTAAAATAAATTTTCCTACAGTAAAATTGGGTTCTCATTCAAAGTACATACTGCACTAAACCAGTTGCCTTGCACCTTTCTTATAAGCTGCAAACCTTTATGTGTCAATTTATCAAAATCAAAGGTTTTAAATCCTATCAATAGAATTGCTTTTGAATTTTATCTTGCAGTCTATCATACATTGCTTTTCATTATCAGAGAAGTTTTATAATGGAAATGTTTTCTGCAGAGCTGAGAATAATTTCCCCTATGCTATCCTACTTAAAAATCTCAAATTCTGATTTTGAATATAAGTAGATGAGATTATTCAGTTTTACTCTTTTAACACTACTGTACTAATATCTACATCCTAGAAACTTCAAGTCTACTTAAAGATTCTTTACTGACAAGGAAAGTTAAATCTTCAAGAGAAGCAATTCTTTCATTAAGTCATAGCTAACTGGATGTTGAAAAAGTGAGGTAGAAATAAGTTTCTGAAATAATTGACATCTAAGTTTTAAAATTATGTTTCTTTTTCAATAAATTTGAAGATAAACTGACTATTTTAAACAAAATAAAGGACACCTTGATAATTGTAAAAATCCTTATTTTCCTACTGCTGACTTCATTATGCTAAAAAAGACTCCAGAAAAGCCATAGTCCTTTTTAAAATGGTAGAGCCTCCCCAGATGTGGCAAGCACATTTCTCTCTCTCTCAGGATTTTTCATAGAGGTGCACAGACAGAAAGAAAGAGAAAACAATTTCTATTTCTGCTCCTTGTTTTTCCTATGTAGAATGTGTTTGGAGAATTGTTTACCTGGGCTGATTGCTTGATTGAATTCTGGTAAGGATTGTTTGAGCCTGATGGCCAATCCAATCCACCTGTGGCTGGACTCTCCAGAAGAAGATTACAAGTTGTGAGTTAGATATGGTAGAGAAAGTAGGTATGTAGTTTTAGTATCTTCCTATAAATAGTATATTAATGTATTATAGCATAGTTATAATAAAGAAATCATTCAGCCTTCTGAACTGGAGTCAGACATCATCATTTCTTTCCACTGGGTTCACCTGCATTTACAATACCCGGTAACAAATGTAAGGCCAACATACAGTAGGAATTAATGAGTGGAGATGTAAGAAAAAAGAATGTTTAAAGTAGGCAGGCTTAGGTGATATTCAGTGTATTTCATTTACTAGAATTGTACCTTTAGTGTATAAACTCAGATTAAGTTTTGAAAATCAGAACAAGTTGTCTTTTCCCCAATTCTTGCACTCCTCAAGCACGATCTAGAGCAAACTCCCAATGCTGTCAGTCCCCTTGTATTCAGTGTGTTTTGCTCCTTCTGGTAAAACAAGATAGGACCTGTCCAGGATATGACATCTGATTTTGTTTAGGAAAATTTAATACATGGATATTAAAAGCATTCAAGAACAACTCTGCACTTCTTCAAAGCCTGTTAAAGAGAGTCTTCGTGTGGAGATAAAGAGTAGGCGGCATGAAAAGCAGCAGAATTATGCAGTAGACTGATGC